CAAGCAGCATCATAGGAGCAGAAAGGCTGACGTTTCGGGCCTAGACCCTTCATTAGAAATGGGGGAGGGGAATGGGGTTCTTTCTGCTCCTATGATGCTGCTTGGCCTGCTGTGTTCATCCAGCTCTGCACTTTGCTGTCTCACATAAACTAGAGGCTGGCTTTGCGGGATTCACTCTATATGCTCATGGGATCAAGCACAGAGTTGGCCATGGTGCAGCAAGGCTAACCTTTGTAGAGATGATTAGATGGATTTGATCGAGCTTTGGATTGTACTCGGGAAATTGTGTCCTCACTTTTTAATGAACAGGAAAGTATAACAATTGCTGCTAATTGAGCATTTAGCTCCTTGCACTGCATCACTGCAAGTCAACAGGAATAAAAGATGAGTGAGATAAATTGGTTGCTAAAATGCTTTCACCTTTCCAATTTTTTTTTGGCTCTTTTCAATTCTTTCATGTGTTTTGAGTATCACTGTCAAAGCCAACTTTAATTGCCTGTTGATAATAGGCCGTAAGATGGTGGTTAGTGACAATTATGCAATAACCAATCGCTTATCAGGGATTTATTAACCCTGCAGGTTAGTTTAGTTAAACACATTATAAGGTATGAACAGGTATCACAGCAAGCCAGTTGATTGCTGTGTATGATGGGGAGGTGCCAGTGTTGGACTGGTTAGGGCACAAACTCAGAAGTCACAACACCAGGTTACAGTCCAACGGGTTTATTTGAAATCACAAGCTTTTGAAGCACTGCTCCTTCGTCAGATGAAGTCCTGACTTCACCTGACAAAGGAGAAGCACTCAGAAAGCTTACGGTTTCAAATAAAATCGCTGGGTAAGTAACTTGCAGACTCACAGCAGACTAACTGACAGGCAGAGTCACAACATTGTATACACATGGCAAGTGGCCTCCTTCAAGGTGAAATCTCTGAAAGGAAAGGCACAACATTTCCCTTCATTCCCAAAAGAATGTATAACTATGTACGGTAAAAAGTGAGACTATGAATCTCTGTAGTATTTACTGAAAGCTCAAGGTTTCATCATGGTGACATTGTCTGTGGGTACCATCGATTGCCAAAGTGATATAGTCTGGCATGTCTCTTTGCGTCATCTTTTTCTTTTACAGTCTGCAGTTGTTGTCCCTGAATTTATTCTGATGCACTGCAGCAAGATTTGTTTCCTGATAAGATGAATCTTGCTCATCTTATCATTTCATGCCATTCTTGGAATTTATCGTTACATTCTGTAAGAGCTACCAGCTCATTCTGAACCTTCTAGTTTAACACCCTGGATTTTTCTATTGCTATCAAAGTGTTAGCCTCCTATTGATCCAGTACATTGTCTTCTTCATAACCTGCTCTAATATTGTCCAGCCTCTCCAACTTTTTTTTCCTTTGTGTTTTCTTTGACATCTGAACCTCTTCCAATTGCTGATTCGGTGGCTGTTTGGCTTCCTCTATGTCCCACTTGAGTTTTTTCACTGGAGTATCATTCTTGGAATTTATTTCTAAAAGGGCTGCCTCATGAGTGTGACAATGTTGTCACTTTAAGAAGTTATTTTGTCCTCATTTTTTTGAAGAGGAGTTGTAAGTCAGAGGCGCAGAACTGTCTCTAAGAAAGTATACAGTGGAAGTTGCCTGGGTGTGATCAGCTCTCACAGATTCAGATTCTGGGTTTTGTTTTTTTTAGTAACAGAAGAAGTTGTTGGGATCTCAAAAGAGTTAGAAGCTTCAGTGAATGTTTCTCGGTCGTTATACTCTCTGAATCTACTCTTGATGTTTTTTTTCCCTCCTGGATTGGAGAACTGCATGTGAGAATCTGCATTTGAATTTGCCTTTTTTGCCAAGAGGTGTGTTTATGGGATGTTACTATATTAGAACAGTTAATCAGTAATAGGTATGTATTTATTATTTAGTTAAGTTTTCCAATAATTAAGTTATTTTAAATTCTTATTTCTTTTGTTTGTATTTTGATTATGGTGTTTACATAAATTGTGTTTTGCTTAACATCAAGTTTGACCAATCGCATTGCATCTGGCACACAGCACTTCACATCTACCTTTAAAATTAGAAAAAGTTAGGATCTAGGCTACCTTCTTAAAATATTTTGAGGAGATCTGGTCTGAGCCATAACATGATGCAGTGCGAGGAGTTAAATGCTGAATTAGCAGCAATTGTTATACTTTCCTATTTATTAAAAAGTGTGTTATGCATCGCCGCCTGCTTTTGCAGGTCTATCATTTTCTCCAACACTGCTTTGACGTTTCTGCAGCTGTTCCTGCTGAGCCTGATCTGTTTTCTGTGTGATGCAGATCTCCTGTAAACCATCAATTGTTTTATTTGATTGATGATACAGTGTTTGTAATACGTCCTGCTTCTCTTCTTTGTCTTTGAGCTCTCTATTCAGATTTGTGAGCTGAGCTAAATTGTGCCTGAAAGACTTCATTATCTCAGACATAGTATTCTCAAATATGAATTGATCCTGAACTAATTATTCAAATTTTTCCTCTTGAAATTTCATGCTTCTCTACACAACAAAGACCTAAGCTATTAACTCCACAAATTCAGAAGAAATCAGATACTCCATTCTTCTTTCATATTTAATTGTGCAAATGTTTCTTGAATAGTCTGCTGCAGTTTCTGTCGTATAACATGTGATTCCATGGATTGTAGCTAGTATTAAGCTACAACATTCAAGCAGACATGACAAATGCTGGTCCAGCAGTGTCTATGATGGAGAAGATCCTTGATATCCAAGTGGATTGGTTATACTGAAAAATACCACCAGCTGCTTCAGTTTTGCCAGGATTGGATCTTTCTGCATCCAGAGTCTGATATTTTCAGCTGTGACTGAAAGTGCGTCCAGTAAATTTAAAACCATTATGCCCTCTTCCAGTGGCAGTATCACCAGTGGTCTATCTTCCAGTGGGAGGTGGCTCAACACATCATCATTTGTTACTTGGCTTCTCAGACAATGTTCCAACTTGTAATTAAACGCACTTAAGTATTAGAGCCCACTGCTGAATTCAGCCTGAAGCTGTGGATGACACGTTTTGACCTCTTTAAGTAGACCTAGCAAGCCTTTGCAGTCTGTTATTATTAAAAATTTATGTCCGTAAAGGTATTGCTGGAATTTCCTGATTCCAAGTATGACTGCCATATCTTATCTGTGCATACTTACGCTCTGTATTAGCCAATGTCCTGGATACATATGCTGTTGGGCCTTCTTCTCCATTGGGCCACCTATGAGCTAATACTACCTCAATGCCATATAGGGAGGTATCGCATGTCATATACCAGATCTCGCTTGGGATCATAGTGTGTCAACACCTTAGAGGATGACAGCTGTTTCTTCACTTCCCCAAAAGCTAGGGCTTGGCTATGCAACCATTTCCAAGGTTGACCCTTGATGCAATCATGCCAGGATGGAGGCCAGGTTATGTATGAACTTTCCATAATAATTCACCAGCCCAAGAGAAAACCTAAGCTTTGGTACAGACATGGGAGCTGGAGCACCTTGGGTCTGCCTCACTTTAATCTTCCAATCGGTGTAACCCATTCTTGTTGACTCTGTAGCCCAAATAGATCATTTGGTGTGCCTGGATC